GCCATGGGGCGGGGGAGGGGCCACTTTTCCCTGCACTCTGCACCAGCTCCTTGCCTGCTAGCAAGCAGGGGGTCGGGGCTGTGCCCCCCCCCCTGCCTGTACTGTGGGCTGGGGGGCAGTGGGAGTGAGTGGCCAGGGAGCCAGCAGAAGCATGGGGCCTGCACTGGTGTCTTGGGGCTAGTGTCAGTGGGCCCCAGAGCAGGGTGGCAGGAGCACGGGGTCCCAGCCAGCAGGGGCTCTATGGAGCCAGGTCAGCTCCCCACTCTCCCTGCTGGTGCATCCTAGCCTGGCTCCACAGACCCCTGCCAGCCTGTGCCCCACTTTGGGCCCCACTCATGCTGGCCCTGGGACATTGGTCCCAAGATGGTGACCAGGGGATGGGGCACCTGTCAAGGGGTGGGACTACCCATGTTGCCCTCGAAGGCCTGCCAAAACCGGGTAAGCGGTCCTCCACCCGAAATAATCACCTGCCCCGACCTAACCTGTAGGCACCACGTCCTTGTTTTGGATCTGCCCCTAGGTTCAAAGAAGTCTGAATCACTGAAGAAAATGGGCATGGCATAAGATCTCTGCAGCAATTTTTGTCCAAGAAATATTATAGATTTATGTTGTAATATAAGAAAGTAACTACTCAACTTGACTTGAAACCCTGAGTATGCAAAACTCAGAAGCAGAAAAATAAACAATCTTACTTATAAAATCAGCCTATTTCTTATGTAAACCTGTGAAAGACAAAATTCATACATAATATGGTTTAAAATAAGGAAAAACTCCCTTGGTTTTGACATACATGCAAACTTTTTATTTTTGAATTTTTAAATAAAATTAACAATTTATGTTGTCATTTTATCATTACCATACAATTTTAAATTTGTTTAACATTAAAATGAGTAAAAGTTGTTAATAAACACCATAACTATCCCTCGGAACTGTCTTTCCTGGCTCCGTGATTTAAAATAAACCTTTTATTAGGCTCATTTTGTAACTTTCACCTGAGGATTTCAAAACTATTGATTTCATCTCAGTTCATATCATTATTATACTCTAGTATAATGATAACATTTATTATAATACATGCACACACACATATACAGGTAACTGAGAAACAGAAATAGAGACCAAATTTTTCAAACTTAGGCCCCTAAAGTTTGCTGGAAAAATAAGATAGTTGCTGCAATGTAGATTAAGGTATCTAATTCAAAGAGGTTTGAATTTTTAGCCTAGGGTGGGATCTGGGGGGATGCAATGGTGCAGTTGCACCCCACCCCTTTGTTTCCTGCTGCTGCTGGAAGGAGGAGAGGCAGTGGGGGGATGTGGCTGTGAGGGAGACAGAGGGACTCCCCCAGGCTCTTTCCAAGACAGCTTAAAAAACTAATTCCACTCTCTGGGCAGAGCAAGACATGGACTATTGCACAGACTGCACGGATTGCACGGAATATTGCATGGAATATTGCACATAATGCTCGTGTAAACACTGACTACAGGTGTAAATTGCACACAATTAGCCCAGACAGCCATGAGCCTGTTCCACCCTGACTCAAACACTATTGTCCCAGGCACACGTGTAGATGCTGTGCCCAGGAGCAGTATACTCCAGTTGTAACTGCTCTGAAGTTTATTGTAGCGTATTAATTGCACATGTAAATGCACCCAAAATTCTTTGCTTTAGAAGTTTCTAGAATTATAGGAAAAAATCTAGAACAGTTTTTTTTACGGTAAATAAAAAAAGTTAACTGTATACAATTACTGACACACATTAGCAGTCACAGGCTTATCAAATGTGCTCAGGTATGTAAATGTCACTGGTTTGCTTTACAGTAAAGATTTGGAAATGGAGATTGCTGGCATTTTAGAAGGCATTCTTATACAGTCAATCTAATTCACCACTGCATGATTATAATTATGTCAGTGGCTGTGTCTACACGTGCACTTTACTGCACAGTGACTATTTTACTGCACATTAAAGCGTCATGTAAAAAACCATGACGTTATACTAACGTGCAGTAAAATAGTCTGCGCATTAAGCATCACTAAAAAATTGTGCAAATGTGCTTCTGTGCATTAGCACAGCCTAATGCACATTAATTTAGTATCCCACATTGGAGGTACTAAATTGAATGTGCATTAGAAAAGGTGAATTAATACACATGTAGATGCACCCAGTGTAACTTAACTAAAATCAATGCATTTGTGCCAACATTAGCTGGACCAATATAGGAGTGAATCCGGTCCTACTCTTTTCAAAACATCACCATAGTCACGTGGCTCCAATTCACTAGGTATTTGCATGCTAAATAACACATATCAGGCCTAAAATATGTGGTACCATTATTTTCCCCCTCCTCCTACTCCAAAATGCTGCCTACTGTATTTGAATGCTGTGATACAATGTGGAATTCACATGTTCAAGTCAATGATTAAGATTAATAAAACTTATTTTGTGAACTGAATTTCCAGTTGTTACAAAAAAATAATTGGAAGATGAGGTACAGAGCTGCATGATCTGAGGAACAAACTGTGTCATATTTCTGTAGTTTACAAAGATATAATGAAAGCAAAAAATACAATTAGCATTCATTCTTACTGTCCTAATTCAGATAAGATTTTCACTGAAATAACTGAAGTCATTTTGGCTTACTAGAAGTTTTCCCTATATAAAAGTATCAGAATCTGACCCCAAAAAAGGATTAAAAGAGAATTTTACCCTATTAGTGGCAAACATTATAAGGCTTAAACTACACTTAAATCCTACTGTTACACTATAAAATTTTTTTTTATTCCAGATGCAACTCTCATAGTCCTCTACACGTGCAGCGAGGCTACTCCAAACCACTGTAATTACAGTGCGTTGGAGCAGACTCAATTAATTGAGGCTGCTGGAGTGTGGTAATTACTGCACTCCAGCAGACTCCAGCATCACATGTATCAAAGTCCCTAGGCTGAAAAATAGCAGTGGGGGCACTTTAACTAAAGCTCATTTGATGAGCTTCAGTTAAAGTGTCCCCGCTGCCATTTTTCAGTGGGGGGATGCTGATATATGTGACACTTTGGGCACTTTAATTAGAGCGGCTCTTGGAGCCACTCTAATTAAAATTCCTCCCACCAACTCCTGGAGCATGTCTATAAATGCCCATAATGCACAGAATTCCAAGGTAACATAGCATAGTTTATTCATCATTAAGTACAGGACTTAATTATGTTATCAACTTTAAAATTCCTTAACTCTTATTAGAGAGTTAGATAAAAATGTACTCACCAATGCCGGTGCCTCTACAGTTGCCATTATTAGAATCCATAGGGAAATCTGGCATGGATTCATAAAATATGTAAAGAAATGTTAGTATTATTAATACTGGATTATTTCAATACAGCCACATTAAAATGCTTAATTTGCTCTAATATTTAGTATATTAAAATTCAAGACCATATCAATTAAAAGGTGTTACAATGCTTTAGAACCCACCCCTGTTTCTACAGAAGTCAGTGTGAACTGTATCTTTAAACAGAAGCAGGACTAGGTCTTTAATACTAAGCACTGAAACAAATTCTACGTTACTTATGGCAAAAATGGAAAATGCCTCATTTTCATTGGTGACTGTGCATAGTGTGGCACAATCTGGACAAGAATGAAAATATGTGCCATTTCAGATGTGAACTTGGTGCACCTCTGAATGACCACATGCTGGTTTTTTATTCAGTTAGATGCTGAAAGACACTCTAGCTTTGATTTCCCCAGTAACAAGAAACAAACAAAGCACAATCATGTTACTGAAGAAAATGCCAAAATAGGCATTTCAAATTTTCCCTTCTTAAAAATCTGCTGATTATTTTGGAGAAGAGATAAGAAACAGAAGAGAAGAAAGGTCAGTATGCCGAATTTCAAAATAAATAAATAAAACTGTGCTTTTGGGAACATCTCTAACTGGAAATGTTCACCATAATATGATGCATATGTTCAAATCTACTGTTAATTAAAACACACCAATGTTTATAGGGTTTATATGCATGTTTTACAATGAAGACATACGAACTGTTGCATATAATGTTTTACACAAGGAAAGGTATAAATATATCTATGTATAGCAACATATATAAGTGCCAGCAGAATCAACGAGGGTACTTGTGCCTGTGTGCACTCCCATGTAAATTGATGGGGCTCACTGGGGGTTCAGTTGCAAGGTCTGGACTATTATTTATATTTAATGACAGCTTATGACTTACAAATACATACACAAGATGTACCTAAATATGGATGTAGGAACCTATCTTTAGGTATCTAGTTTTCTTTTAATTTTGACTATACATTACTTATTACTTTCTTAATACCTAGTTATACTTCATATGGTCCGCAACATACTTCACATATGTGGAGAAATGGAGATAAGACATGAAGTATAAATGTAGATATTGGAATACCACTGTTTGCTTAACTAAAATAACAAACCTGGCAATACTGAAACTTCAGAATCAAACATCTGTATCAATGTAGTCAGCACAAGGACACAGGAAATGCCATAGCACAATGAAGTAGTTGTCTTTTCAGTCCAGTATCCTGTCTCTGACAATGCTTCAAACTATTTGCCTCATAAGAAACTACCAAACCTTCCCTGTACCTAATTCTACAGTAAACATGGAAGATTTTCTCCCCTGAAATGAGCATATTTACCTGAATCCAAGATGATTTAGAATCTCAGATGTCCAATGACGCCCCCCAACCCCATTAGATTCTCTATGTGAAAAACTGTGTGTGTGCTATAATTTTCTATCTAAAGAATCCAGTTAGTGGAAGATCGTCTTAAATTCATCCCCCCTACTGGAGGAGAAAACCATGGTGGGGGGGGAGAGAGGCCAGACCCCAACCTCTTGCTCCCCACCTCACTGTCCTCCCTGCCTATCCCACTGTCCTTTGCCCACCCCTACCTCTGCCTGTCTGCCCTCCCACTTGCCCCCTGCCATGTTGCCCCCTGCTGTCTGCCTCCCCCCTCTGGTGCCTATGCCTCCCCCTGCCACATCCCACTAATGACATACCCTTCACCCCCTACACTTCTGCCTGCCCCTTGTCACCTCTCCCCCCTCCTTACCTCTGTGCCCATGCCTGCCCTCCACTCACCGTCCTCCACACTCCCCAACCCCTTCCCCCCTCTGCCTACATCTGCCTCTTCCCAGCCTTCCATCCCCTGCTCTCCCCTGCTGTCTGTCCCCACCCCATGCCTGCATCCTGCCTCCCCCCCACGACTTACCTTCTGGTGCTCTGTTCTGCTCTGTTCCAGCTCTGGGGCAGACAGGGGTGATGGTGGCCCCAGCTCCGCCCAGACAGGCAGAAGGAGCAGAGGCAGCTCTGGGCCCAGCCAGGTTGGGGCTGGAGAGGCCAAATATGGAGCAGAAGGTAAGCAGGGACAAGGGGCAGGCTCTGCGATCTACTTCCAAGCCACATTGTGTGGTGTCCCCTCCCTCCCCTGGCAGCCAGCTGCACTCCCCTTCCTTGCTGCATGAACCACTCCAGCTTGGAGCAGGCAGTGGCTCAGCTTTGGCTCCAAGTGTGAGGCTGAAGCTTGAGCTAAGCCACTGTCTTCCCTGGGCCAGTATTCAAATCCAAAAAGAGGGGTCCCCCTGCTCCCATGGCTTTCAGAGAAAAAAAACTCATCTTGGATTTGAGTAAATATGGTAAGTTATTCTTCAGCAGTAACTTATACCCTACTCCACATTGCTCATAATATCCCCATTATATGTGCTGTACAGAATACGTACCTCTCATCATTTTTACCACTTTATCATTTTAACTAGTAAAAGTGAGTCTAATACAATTTTTCACTTATAATTTTTTTCTTGTATCTTATATAAGCTATGTCCTTCCAGTAGCATATAATGGTCTAACTGAGCACCACAAATCAATTATGCATGGCATCAAAATGTATTTCTTTATCCAGTTTAAATTTGTATCCTTTTAATTTTATGGAATGCTTTTTTTTTATCATTTGCTATAGGACAGCATAAGAAGGAGACTTCACGGGGCCTTTTTCAAGCAAGTTAGTCATTGGCTTTTATCATATTTCCCTTATTCCTCTCCCACCCAAACTACAAAGTACAAAACCCAGCTACATATTATATTCTTTGTTTTAGTGTTTATTGTCAGGGCACCTCTCCAAAACCTGCAGGAGTTCTTTACGATTCTTATATTCTTATTTAATTCAATTGGTCCATCAATCTGATAATCTCTTCCTATTACTAGAAGCCATATGACATCTTCAAGAAGTTCACAAAATGCCTTTTTACAGATTCTGTCTTAGAGGCAGCTTATACTTGTGACCATGATAATAGTATCGCTTTTTTCAAAAGACTGCCCATTTAATTTTGTATATGAAGGGAGCAGAGACAAAGGCAAAGAAAGAGAAGGAAAGGAGAGGGCAAAGACCTTGTCTTTATTAGGAGTATACTATTGTAGCTATGACATTCTCTTGGAGATGTACCCTGCTGGCAAAAGACTTCTGCTAATACAGGAAGTCCCTGTTCTCCAAATTAACTCAGCTATGATCTTGCAGTGTAGCTACATATAGAGTAGGGTGTTTGCCTGTTCAAATAGCTCAGTTAAGGGCGAGATTGTTTTTATCATGTTCCTAAGAAACATAGCTATGCCAGAAAAAAATTAATGGGGACCAGGCCTGACAGAAGACAAAGAAAGAGAAATGTTGGCTAGTGAAGGAGGTAAGAGAAACATAATATTCAGCATTTATCCCCATATCTTCATTCCCAGGGAGGGAGGAAAAAGAAATACGAAAAAAGAAACATTAAAAAAGAAAATGAAGCACTTTTACTCTTCAGGAAAAAAGAAAGACTTCCTTAAGCCAAAAACTTAGGTTTTCTGAACTTTGGGGATTTATCCTTCAGGTCTACATACAGATTTTTCTAGCTCAAACCAACCTCTACAGAAATTGTCCTTTTTTCATCTTTTTAATACAGTCTTGGTAGAAAGGCTTCAATACAGTAACACTTCCCTTCCCTTCCCTTTAAAAAAGGCTGGAAGAACTCATCTTAAATTTAGATGTTATTAAAAATTCTCCATGGGTAGGTACAGACATCTTGGATGTTAGATCGAGTTAATAATGGCCACCTGATCAAAGGTAAGTCATAACATGGGAGGGCAAGTGGAGGAAGGGCAGGGGGAGCAAGTCAGGTCAACAAGGGGGATTGGGGGCATCAGGGGGGCAAGTGGAGTCTGCAAGAGGGCTCAAGGTACAAGCGATGTCCATGGGGGACTTGGCTCAGGGGAGGGGACGGGGGCTATCAGGGTCTGTGGGAGGGTTTATGAGGTCCAGGAGGGTTTGGCAGGATCCAGAGGGCTAGCAGAGCCTAGGGGGGCGGGGGGGCCAGGGGGTTGAGCAGATGGGGAGCCTCCCACCCCCTCCCAGACGAATAACCCACACCCAGCGAGCCAACCTCTCCACCCTAATCCTGCCCACCCCTCCCCCAACTCCAATTTACATCAGTTGGCTCTCTGCACCAGAAGCAGCTTACAGAATGGGAGGGAGGGAAGGGGTTAGTGGGCTGGGGCCAGGGGCTAGTCTGCAAGGAGGGGTTGTCCCTCTGGGGGTGTGGGGAGGAGCTGTGAGGCACACACCTGCTCCCAGTCTAGGTATAAGTAGTTTAAAGTAAGCTGCCTACACCCAAGTTGCATGCAGAGACCTCTTGTGTCAGTGACATGGGGAGGTAGTAGGAAAAGCACAGCTCCGGGGCTGGGACCAGTGACTGTGCTTTCCCAACCCCAGGGCTGCACTGGGAACTGTACAGAAGTTCAGCTAGATCAGTCTCATTGGACCTGGTCTAAGTTAGACTACCTTGTAGGTAAGGTTAATTTAGATTAGGTTAGCCATTTTTAGACTGATCTAATGTTCCTGAACTTCTGTAGTAGCCACTGTTAGACTGATCTAATGTTCCTGAACTTCTGTACAGTTTGCATTTCGATCCCTAGTTAGGTCAATCTAAGTGTAAGGTCTGCACCTGGGCAAACTAAGATCAGGTGGCCATTTTTAACGTCATATAAACTCCCCCTAACCTCCCCAAATGTCTGTACCTAGTCTAGTCCAGATCTCCAGAGAATATTACTAGTATTTTTTTCTGCAATTATCACTTTACTAATAATCATTTTCACAATGCGGTAAATTTCTAGAATAGATTTTAAACATTAGGTCAGAACCTGCTATTGGATCTATTTGGTCACCCTCTCCCCAGAATTGATCAGTCCAATTGGCTTTAGCAGAGTTATAACTAGGGATCTGGGTTTTCTGTTCACAGTGGAGAAATGCATAA